CAAGATACTCATGTAATGGTACAAGATCCCAATGATGAATGTAACTATTTTATACCTAAAATGTACCAATAAACTTAATGGGGAAAAAAATCGGAGTGATAATGCACATGTAGTTTGCTATCCTGCATTTTTATTTGATGTTTATTGCAAATTATCTCTTATGTCATTAATATTTTTAAAACATGTTTTAATGATTGTTCACTATCCTATTTTATAAATCTGCTTTTTGTTGTTTTAAAGAAGAAGAGGTTGGGAAAGATAAGAATCTTGTCTATTGAAAAACATTGCCTGAGTATTATACTGATATTTAGAAAAGCTTATAAAGGGTAGATCTCTAAACAATTTGTAAATATTACCTTCATGTCAAATTCGCTAGCATGCTAGCTGAAAAACATGACTATTGTGTGAGAATGGCATTAGAAAAATAGCTTTACTCAAGAAGAAGCTTATTAAAACCATAGTCTTTATGTTCAATACAGGAAAAAGTGATTTTTAAATTTGAAAGAAAAACTTCATTGAAATTAAATTCCCTTATAATGCAGTTGTTAAAACTACTGTCCAATTTCTGGACTGTTGCAGTGATTCAAATGCCAACTCAGATGAGTATAAAAGCAGTGTTTTGAAGACATCGACTCTATACCTACATGTTCTACATTGCCTCCCTGGACATACAGTAGTTGTATGTCCTCTGTATTAAAGTAGGGTTGAGGTCTGAATGTCTTGACTTGGTTTTTAGGTAGCTTTAGTCTGCATACATTTGTGGTCTTAACACAACTTCTTCATCCTGTCAGTAGGGCCCTGGAAACAATAGATTTATTCTGCTTTTATTTCTTTACCATAAATATGCTGGCTTTCAGTATGTTTCCTTGATGTCTTTTGGTGCCTTTCTCAGACTGAGAGTGTGCATCTATATATCTTTTTTTGGTTACTGCAGCCTATATTGATTGATCCACCTCAGAACTATTGACATTTGCAGTTTGGGTCAGAGATTAATAAATTAACTGCATATTGTTTCACATGAATTAATTGGGTTATGAGATCCTTAGAGGAGATTGTTATATTCCTTTTTTGACTCTCATAGCACTATGACACAGCCATAGGCAAGCAGTTACTACACAGTGTATGTTCCCTAATTGTTAAGAGATAAAACCACTTTGATACAATTTTTTTCTTCTCATTTAATAAAGGGATAGAATGGGATCTGCACTAATGATTGAAACGGCAAGAAACCCTGCATGTCCTAAGGTATGTTTGGAGTCTCCTAAATGTAACATTTGGAAAAAGGTCTGGTGAAAGCACTTACTCTGAGATCTTCTTATTAAGGAGAACAAGTCTTAGGAATTTCACCTGATAGATTTTATTAATTCTTTACATATTGTATCATTCTGTGAAGATATGGGATGTGTTGATTAGATCTTTTCTCTATCCAGTAAAAAATCTCACAGAAGTTTAAGAAAGTCTAGAACTGAATATAGAGAATTATTTTAATCAAATCTAGTAATTTAAGGAAGATTACTACATTTCTTCCCCTAGATTTTTAAAGAGAAATTTTATGTACCATTGATATATATGTTGTATTAATGTACAAATAGAATCCCAGTTTTAAAGATATGTCTCAGTGTGACTTTTCATTTATTTATTTGAAACCTGATGATCTGAGTACTGTTTGAGTTCTGTTTTTTAAAACAATACTTATTTGCTTAAGGAACATAATTTACATGCCTCGGAATCTTCTGCATCTTGTATTTCTTCTTGGATGACAAGCTGCAGTAATGAAAAACCAAAGAAAATACAGCTCTTCCTGTTGCAGTTTAACTGCCATTTTCATGCTTTCATTCGTTCTGCAGATACTATGCACCCACTGTGCTAGGCCCGTTGGATACATAGTGAGCAAATGCACACATGGAGTTCACAGCCCTGTAAGCTGATGTAGCTATTGATGAAATCACACAGACAAGATAGGACTTCCTGAAATAAGTGCCATGCAAAGCCACTGTGTGAGAATCACTGTGAAGGCTGAGGAGTAGGGACATTGCTGGCAAAGGGACAGAGAGAATGGCTTGTGTAGGAGGAACCATGGAGAATTCCAGGAACTGAAAGAGTTTTGAAGACTGGAGTCAAGGATCCATGGGCAGCATGTGGGACGAGGCTGGGGTGGTGGGTAGATCCTGCCACTCATGGGACCTCGCAGGCCCTGATAAAGGGTGACTCAGCTCTTTTGGAAGGGACCCTAGGATGCATGGTTCACCTCTTGTATTTTCCCCTGTATCTGCTGGACTCTGCTTGCTTGCTTCCAATTACAGAAGTTATCACCTTTAAATAAAAATATTGTGAATATGGTGAAATTTTAATCACTTCAAAAAGTACTTCATCATATAAAATGTATGAAAGCAACACCCCATACATTTCTTAATTTTATCTATAGTCTGTGCCAGATATGTAAAGACCTGTATTTAATGTTTGACCAACTCTTGTCCATAGTGGCCTAGGGATACAGATGAATAACTTACAGGAATTTAGGATGTAACCTTTGTTCAATAAATAGCAAAGCAAACAGATCTGTGGTAGGGCTTGGCACATGATACTGAAAACTTTGGCCTCAGTACTTGTCTGCTTAAGTTCATATTACAGATCATAATAAATAATGGCACGTTTTATTTAAACTCAGTGGACAGCAAATAAATCTGAGACCTGGAATGATTGATGTTAAAGTTTCTTAATAAAATTAGCCAGCTACCAAGCTTTTAATAACTATGACTTGAGAGCCCTGAGAGTTTGCATAGTATTATATTTTAGCTTGAATAAAATCATAGTGGTTTAAAAGAACACAGAAACAAAGATTTGCTTGAAAATGATGTATTGTGAAAATAGTAAAAATACATATATTATTCATCTTTAGTAACAATAAAAACTACGGTGTCATAAAGATCTAGAAATATGTTCCTTTTAAATCAAACTATGTAGTCAGATATATCATTATTGTTCTTTTCTAGTACATTTCTCAGAATTGTCTCTATCCTTATGTGTATTGTCCATAAAAAATACCTGTGTTACACATTGATCTTGTTGGAGAGGTGAAGATTGTTCATTCATACTACTAAATAGTATTTAATTTCTGCAGATCCTAAATATTGTTGTTACAGTGGTCTTGTTTACTTTTTAATTTACTAGGTAGCTGCTGTAAGCACCATAGTAAACAGAGGGATAACACCCAAAGCTTTTGTGTTCAGAAACTATGGTCATTTTCCCGGAATCAACTCTCATTATTTGGGAGGATGTCAATATAAAATGTGGCAGGCCATTAGAGCCTCTTCTGCTGCTCCAGGCTACTTTGCAGAGTATGCATTGGGAAACGATCTTCATCAAGTAAGTAGACTCACGTGGCTAACTGTTAACTTTTACGTGATTAAACGAGTCGGCTACTGTTAAATGCCCATCAGCTTCACAAGGATCAGCGCAGAAGCCCTCTTCATTGTTAGGTCTGTATGTCCAAAAGTGTGCAGTTCAAAGCCCGGCATGGTGGCGCACATCCGTAACCCTGCACTCTGGGAGACGGAGTCAAGAAGATTGCAGGTTCAGTCCCAGCCTGGACACCTTAGCAAGATCTCATCACAAAATACAAAATAAAATGGGCTGGGGATGTGGCCTAGTGCAAACGCCCAGTTTCACTGATGAAAAAATGTGATAATATATACGACTAGTTTTTACATAATAAAAACTAAAAATGAAATACTTTCTCTGAAAATGCAAAACCCGGTTTGCTTGACAGCTTTGCAGGGCATAGTTTGAAGGAGATGATGCAATAAAATGATAGTAAGCACTCATTAAATTAGCTGTGTACCAAACACTTATTTAATGCTTTGCATGTGTTTTCTCATTTAATCATTGGTACTCAAATGAGACAGAACTGTTCCTGTTTTACACATAAGAAGTTGGAATCTTAAAGTTAAGTAAGAAAAGTTAAGTAATTAGAGTAGAGTCACCGCTGTGAAGAGACAACTAAGATACTATCTGTAATAATACTATTCTAGGGGATTTAGCTCAGAGGTTCCGGTGCCTGCCTTACAAGCGCAAGGTCCCGAGTTCGATCCCCAGTACTGGAAAAAAAAAATACTGTTCTAAATGTATGGTTAAATTATCTTTAAAGTTGAATATTACTCTGGTAATTCTTTTCTGTTCTGTAAACTCATTTACTTAAATTTTTTCTCTATCAAGTTTTTCCCACCATCCATAGAAATTTTAATTCATACTGATAAAATCAATAAAGCTTTTAAACTGGTAGTTTTTGTGTGATGTCTCATTTAAAACTAGTTTCATTTGATGGGATCAGTAAACTTAACTTTCTAATCACTGAAATATGTGTGCTCCCTTTACTTGGGATTCAAATATCTATTGAGAAAAAAATCTAACATTATTGACAGGAACTTTCATATGGCATTCAAAGCTTATCCATAGACCTATATAAGTTGTACATGAGCTATATAAACTTCAAAACTTTCTGCTGGATAATATTAATTTACATGTGTCAGTGTTACAACAACTGAAATATTTTATCAATTTTATTTTCTCTTATATTTTGTTAGAATAGCTTAGATATATTCTAAAATGTTATGGTCAGCTGTCCCATTTTCTTTTCATCTTTCCAAGAGTAATATCATAATCTTTGTAGTGAAGAGATTAAAATAGGATTCCTTTTGTCTTTGGAATCATTTCAGACTATTTTTACTTTGTCAGATCAGTCATTGTTGAATTATGCAAGGCACTTCCCCTTCTTGCCTCTTTTTTTTCTCGCACCTCCTCATGGCAGAAAGTGCTGGTTATTGAGTTTCTTTCTGACATAAATTTCAAGATTTATTGGGCAAAATAATTTTACTTATTTTTGTTTACAGGCACAGATACTTGTCATTTTTATTTGGGTACAGAGGTTCTCCAAATTATATTTTAAAATAAGTCCTAATTAATATCACTCCTGTAACAAATTTAGCACAATTTTCACAAATGATTTATGTAAAAGAAGAAAATACAGAAAATTTTATAATACCTTAAGCTCTTTATTCCTTGTCATAGACATTAATTGTTGTTCATTGTCTTTCAGTTTCCACAGTTTCCAACTTATGTCTGTATTTAATAGTGCTTTAATCTGCTAAAGACATTAACTGCTTTCTAAAATCTAAGAATTATATAGTAGTTTTAGTATAAATATGTCACATTTTTATAAAATTTTGGCAAAACTGAGTAAGCATGCCTTGTTTTAAGTCCATGCTTCTGTTTATAAAATCTCATTTAGTGATGAAAAAATTTATTTTAATATGTAGCTTCCTGTCTTTAACAACTACTTTCCCCTATTCTTATTTTATTCTGGCCATGTCATAAATGGAGAAATAATTTAGACAATGTATTTAAAATAAAATAGTTAAGGTTTATAAAGTATTACTTTAAGATGGTTGTCCTGCTACAAACTTGTAGTTATGCCAGGTGTCAGAGAAAGTTTAAAATACTAAGTAACTGCATTTCAGGACCAAACATTTCCAGACATCAAAAGAAGTGATCTCATTTGCTCTATATTCTTTATCTAAGAGTAAGTAGCTCTAAAATTTAATTCAGTCCTATTGAAGATGTGTATGTACATAAAACAAACCCAAGTAATTCAGTGGTACCTTTTCCACTTTATGTATATAGACTAGTGAAATTTCTTTTCATGCCTAGTCATTTTTATATTGATCATAAATCTTTCAAATTCTTTTGAGCTACAGACTAAAATAACTTTTATATAAATTATATGTAAAGCATGAGAAAGGGATATAAAAGGGATATATGTAAGTCAGTGACCTCCAGAAAAATTGGCACATTTAATAAGAATACTCAAATAGTCTCTGGAATTGAGAGAACCTATTTTAGCATTTGTCTCATGATATAGTCTATTCTTCCAAGATTTGAGGAAGAAGAAATGGATATTTTTTCCCCTCAAAAGTTAACTGAAAAGATGGATAAGAATTTCTAAAGAGTGAACAGTCTTGAATGTTTAAACAAAAAACATTCAAGCAAAATTTCTGCCTCTTTGCAGTCCTTCAGAAGATGCCAAGGGTAGCACTAAAATATAATACTTATTACAACTTTTTCATCCTAAATCTTTTGAATAATTATATTCAGTTATTTCCAGTCTCATTTAAAAAAATCCTCTTTCACTGTCATGTCTGACATATGTATTATTTTAAGTTACTTCATATCCTTTTTAGAGCCAGGTAGAACATAAATTATAGGTTAATACTCTGAGCAGTAACTGAAAGTAGTGCTATAATTAAGAGATATGAATAGATGGATGGGGATATGTCATTTGCTTCTGACTATAAAAAGAAGAATATTATTATAGTACTTACAAGGCATATGATGTATCCTAGAAAATTGTAATGTAGGAGGAATTCTTTAAGTAGCTTCCAGTCACTGCCCCTTAGTCAAGTAGTAACATAAAATTTATCTTGAGGTAGTACTTTTTACACAAAATTATCCCATCCCTCTTTTAACATTTCCATCTCCAAAATTAAATTGTTCATTGCTGTCTTTGGAGAAAGAATCTGATAAGTTGTGTCTTGCTAAAGATCTTTTGGGAGATTGAATCCGGGTCCTTGTGCCTGCTGTGCACATGGGTTCTGACTGAGTTACACTCCAGCCCCTTATGCTAAAGGTTTACATGACTGGTGCTGAGCCTTTGTTTACATTTCAAAGGGTTGTGTTCAAAGCTTAAGACCCATTAACCTTAAAAAATATGAATTTCATATAAATGTTACAGGTAAAGTATGCTTTTAGCAGAAAGAGCCTGCCTAGAACCTATCAAATTATGCGTGGACCAGGCCACAACTAATTATTTTTTATGTAACCAGGTTGTAAAACTTACCCGAAGGATAGAGGACTTACAATAGCTAAAACAGTTCTAAAAGAAGATAAGGTTGGAGTAATTATATTACCCAATTTTAAAAACTTACTGCACAGATAAAATAATAACAGTGTTGTATTTACAGGAAGATCGAACATAGATAAGTGGATCAGAACAGGGAATCCAGAAATAAGCCTACACTTACATGGTCTTTGATCTTTGACAGAGATGCAAAAGCAGTTCAGCAGAGGGCCGGGGATTTAGCTCAGTGGTTCCGCCACGTGCCCCGTAAGCGCAAGGACTTGAGTTCGATCCCTGGTACCAAAAAAAAAAAAGCAATTCAGTGGAGAAAGGGTAGTCTTGGAACAGTTGGTCATATCTTTCTTTCTCTCTCTCTCCCTTTTCTGTTCCACACATAGACATACACCAAAAACCTTAGCTTCATCCTCATACCTTATATACAGAGATTATTCAAAGTGGATATAGTTCTGCATGCAAAAGAAAGCTATAAAACATTTATTTTTTTGTACCGGGGATTGAATTTGGGTCCTTGTGCTTGTGAGGCAGGTGGCGGAACCACTGAGGTAAATCCCCGGTCCAGCTATAAAACTTTTAGAAGAAAATAGGAGAAAATCGTTATCACCTTGGATTATATGAAGATTTCTTACGATTATACTAAGTTCATCATCTAAAAGAAAATAATTGATAAATTGAACTTCATCAAAATTAAAACCTTTTGCTCTTCAGAGATACTGCCAAGAGAATAAGAGACAAGCTACACACAGGGAAAATGCAAATCATACTTTCAACAAAGGATATGTATCCAGAGTATTTATGAAAACTGTACAAGAAAACAACCTGACTAGTCATTTAAACTCTTTGTTTTGGGTTTTGGTTTTGGTTTTGGTTTGGTTTTATCTTGTTTTGCTTTTAAGATACTAGGGATTAAACCTAGGGCCTTTGTACTGAGCTACATCCCTGGTCCTTTTTACGTTTTAAGACAGGGCCTCACTTAAGTCACTACATTGCCCTGTGTAGGTTGAACTTGTGATCCTCTTTCCTAAGCCTCCCAGAGTACTGGGATTATAGGTATGCACCCCCATACCTAGTTATACTTAAGATATTTTAAATCAGATATATTTTTCTGGCTTTTAAATCAAATATATAATATTAATAATGTATGTTTTAATATTTAATATACATTCTATTGTAATTTGACCCTAATTTTAAATACATTTGTTGTATTTTACAGTACTATCAACAGATTTTGCATTTGTTTTTGAATTCCTTTTTTTTTTTGGTACTGGGGATCGAACTCAGGACCTTGCTCTTGCTCTTGTGAGGCAAATGTGGTGCCACTGAGCTAAATCCCCGGCCCTGTTTTTGAATTCTTGAACATAATGTTGGTTATTAATTACTGCTTATAAATGTAGTTTGACCTACTTTATTTAGGTTATGCTGCATTATCATAGATATGATACCATGAAATTGTATTGTTAGTGAAATTTTAATTTAAAATTATTTTAGTTATATTTGACTTGTGAGAGAAATGGTTGAAATTATTTGGTTAGAAGCAGAACTCTTTTTTATTTGCTTTTGTTGTGAGACAGGGTCTCATTTTGTAGGGTGGGCTGGCCTTGAACTCACTATGCAGCCCAGGCTAGCCTTAAACTCCTACCTCAGCCTCCTACATCAGCCTCCTGAATGCTAGGGTTACAGGTGTGTGCTACCACACCTGGCTATTTGTTTTATAATATTAATATATTAGCCACTAGATAAAGATAATTATCTTTAAAAAGTAGTTCAGTTTATTTCATTATTTTTGAGTGAAATATGCAAAGCAATCCAGGAATTTGTTAAAATAGGAAAGCAAAGCTTAATACAAAAGTTCCTCATGAGACAACAAGGTTTTCAGCTTTCTGTAGCTGTAGAAAATAAAATTAATTCACTTTACAATAATATCTTGTTTTTAAATAATTTTTTGTTTGGTTTAATTCATTGCTCAATTTTCCCTGTAAGTAAATGTCCAATTGCTTAAAATACAATTTTTGTTTTTCATATTTGTAACATATGGTCTCGCTTTTAAGAATCCTTTTTAAAATTTTTTGCAGGATGGAGGCTTGCTTCTGAATAACCCATCTGCATTAGCCATGCACGAGTGTAAGTGTCTTTGGCCAGATGTCCCGTTGGAGTGCATCGTGTCCCTGGGCACAGGACGCTATGAGAGTGATGTGAAGAACACTGCGACCTACACGAGCTTGAAAACCAAACTCTCTAATGTCATCAACAGTGCGACAGATACCGAAGGTTGGTCTGTCTGAGACACTTCAGCCAAAACTCTGAGGTTGTGGTGGAATATGCTGATATGAACTTCAGGCGAGTGTGCCATATCTGCGTTATGAGTGTAGGAGGCTCGCGGGGCAGTGTATTGTGGTCCCCTTTTCCTCACCCTCTTCTCTTTTTTTTTGCATTACTGGGGACCAAACTCAGGACCTTGCGCTTGCAAGGCAGGTGCAGTGCTACTCAGCTAAATCCCCGGCCCTCCTCACCCTGTTCTTTTAAGTGACCCTAGGGACCACTCTCCACCTAGCAGCTGATGCTGCCTTTGCCTCCTTAAGGCTGACAGTGGCTAAGCAGGGACATCACAAAGGCTTCCATGGAGGCTCTTACTCAGTTAAGAGAGGGGGAAATGACAGAAGGACTTGGGTTAGTTCAACTGTAGTGAGAGTTAGTGTGCAAAAAACTTTTGGCACCAGGTTATTAGTAATGTGGAAGCAAACTGCAATTAGAATAAGTTTCTAAGAGAAAAAAAGAATAAGTTCTTGCTTCCATTGTTTTTTGTTTAGTTTTGTTTTGGTTTTCTGAGACAGTCTTTTTATGTAGTTCAGGCTGGCCTTGAACTCACAGTGTAGCCCAGGCTGGCCTCAAACTTGCAATGATCTTCTTGCCTCAGCTTTCCAAGTGCTGGGATTACAGACATGCAGCAGCTCACCTGGGCTTGCTTTCATTATTGCTGCCCCTGTAGTTTAGTCTTACTACAAAGGCCAAAGTGATCCATTTAAAATAGAAGCCAGATCATCCCTTCCCTTCTCAAAACCCTCTAGGGTTCCTGTCACATTTGGAACAGAATACAAAAGCCAGATTCACTGAAATTTAACAGACCCCAGAAGACCTAGTCTTTGAGTATGTCTTTTCCTAGAATATAGAGACACACTATCCTAGAATTAAAAAAAATAAATAAGGTTGGAGATGTGGCTCAGTGGCAGAACACTACTGTATTCAATCCCAGTACCACATACACCCAAAAAGTGGCAAGCACAGTGGGATACGTGTGTTTGAAGCAAGGGAGAGTATTTTAAGAAGGATCGGGCACTGTGTCTTTGACTACATCTCATCTTCATCAAAGCTAACATTATTAAACTGTTCTTGTGTTTGTATCATTGACTAGAATGTAAATACAATGAGGCAACATTTCATATTTCTTTAAAATTCATGTGATTGGCTCTCTTTTATTTTAAATTCTGGGACAATGTGTCACTACATTGGCCAGGAAGGACTTGTGATCCTCCTGCCTCAATCCAGGGATTACAGGTGTACCCCACAACACCCAGCTTCTTACTGCTTTCTGAAGCAATTCTGGTAGTCTCTCATGTCTTTAGTCAAAACGTTTTGCTTTCATGGTCATTCTGACTTTGGGAAAGAGCCAGATCTGGTGGATGAGGACACACTTTAATGTTTTCACAAGCCTGCCTTTCCAGTGGATGGCACTTGACAGCAACATTCACTGTATTTTTGGTCATACCTCATAAAGACCCTCACAGAAGAGAACTTCAGAACTGCTTCAGAAAGTGTCAGGAATGATGGGATAAGTATATTTGAAGCAAGGGAGAGTATTTTGAAGGGGTTAGTAGCAGTGTGTCATACTATAATAAGTTTTTAAATTGTAAACATTCACTGTATATTTTAATCATTCCTTGTAATAACTACATTGATTAAGCATTTTTAACTATTAATTATAAGTTGCTTTTGGCCCACAAAGACAGCAATTTCATATGGTTCAATCTAGCATGTAATCAGTTACTAACTCAGTGGTAAATGTGTACAATTAGGGCTATGAATTAAGATGAATGAGCAAACTCATGTCTGATGAAGGTAGTCTTTATCCAGGGTATGTAAACTTTACATCAATAAAAGAACTAGAGATACAAGTTTAGAATGAAAAACAAAATCACTTTATTGGGAAGAGGAGATAAATTAGGAGATATTAGGTAGTCACCTTATCGGAGTAAGACAGGGAGCCCAAAGCTTGAGGGTCTTCGTTTTTTGCCTCTTTTATTATATGTCAAGAAAAAGGACTCTTCCCCCTTGGGAGTTGTTATAACTTGATTCGCTATTTTAGGCTCTGAGACCCCTGATTCAGCCGCTGTCCCTTTCCGTTGTCCCCATGCACATTTTTGGATAAGCTTTCTTTGGTCTCTCTGTTTTGTCAACACAATATCTGTGAGAATTATGGCAAAGCCTCATATTCAAGGTTAAATTATCAAAGTCACTTGCTGTGATTAACGGCAGTTCTACATAAACACTTTCAGAAAATAGAGGCAGGAATATGTCACATCTTATTTTATAAGGCCAGCATTACCCTGATACCAAAACTAGACAAAAATATATTTTAAAAATTCAGAAACTACCAACAATTATTTATTAGTATATACAGAAATTTATAAAATACACTAATATATTAAAAATATGATACGACCAACTAGTTTATCTAGCTGAATATAGATATGGGGTTTTTTGACATTCAAAAAAAAAAAACTTCAGTGTAATTCACCGTGTTAACAGATTAAAAAAAAGGAAAAACACATGATCATCTCAGTAGAAAAAGGGATCTAACAGAACCCAGTATCCATTCATGATAAAAATTCAGAAAAGAAGACAACAACAGAAGACAACTTCCTTAACCTGAAAAGGGTCATCTACAGAATAACTAGAGCTAACGTAATATTTAATGGTGAAAGATGAAATGTTTCTTCTAAGATCAAGAACAGAATAAGATGTCTGCTTTCACAAGTTCCAGAAAATGTTGTATGGGAGATTCTCTCCAGTGCAGTAATACAATTAAAGGAAATGAAAGATACAGATTAGAAATGAAGAAGTAAAACTTTATTTATGGACAATATGGTTGTCTATTTTTATAATACTAATAAGTCTTACAAATCTTATTAAATTAAAAGCAAGTTTCTCAAAGTTGAAGAATACAAGGTCAATAAACAAATCAAGCCAGATGTTTACTTAATCATTGTAACAATTATTTTAGATTACTCATGAGAAATGAAGGGCAACTAACATTTTAAGCTAGAGCCTACTAAAAAAATGTATATGTACTTCGGCAGTTCACCGTACTAATAAATGTCTGGGAGATAATGGAGCACCTGTTGTAACTGTAGAGGCCAAAGGTAACTTGTATTACTCTCATGATGTCTCAATAAGTTTAGTATTAAAATATTTATACAAGTTTTTCTTTTCCTGTTGTATACATTTTTTTGGCGGACTCATATGTATTTTCTTAAATGAAGAAAAACTCTGAAGTTGTTGTACATAGGAAATAATTGACAATTGCATTATGTTACCAGACTTTAAAGTTCTTATTTGCAAGTTTTATGTAAACCTTGAGCCTAGCAGTTTTTATCCTCTTAACATTTTGAGTTTGGTAACCCTTGAATATTTGTATAATGATTTTTTTTGTGTGTGAAAGCTCTAATAGCCAGAGGTCTATAATATCAAAAATATAAAGGAAATTTATACAGGCTCAAAAAAAAATTTTTTTTTGTCAAAAATGGAGCAACTGCAGGGACTTTAGCCAATTATAAAAAGTAGATTAGCAGGTAGACAAGAAGTTGTATACAACACATAAAACAATTTCACTGAACACGCGTGTACTTTTAGATGTATTGAATTCTAATAATCCTTTTTCTTAGTTTTAAATTTATGACTATAGACTAGTCAGAATTCTCCTTAGAGGGTATCAATTAGCACTTCTTAGTCTTCTATAAATCATAACAGTATTTTATCTAATATTCTATGCTACTCTGAGTATTTTGGTTTTTCCTCTAATAGTTAACACCAGAATTAAACCAGGAGTCAGAAAGAGAGAAGAGTTGCAGGTTGCTAGATAGGATGATCTTTGTTCATTTTCCCTCATTTTTTCCCCCCTCATTATTATAAAACCAAATTTGAGGGCCTTGTCTTTTTACTCTTTAACTTACATTTAGAGAAATGTAAGGGGGGAAAAAATTTTTTTTTTTTTTGGTACCAGGGATCTAACTCGGGACCTGGTGCTTGTAAGGCAGGTGGAGGAGCCACTGAGCTAAATCCCTGGCCCTGTAGGGAAGAAAAAAATTTTTAAATGGTCCCAGTTTTGTAAAATACAGCCTACAGTGATGTTTAGGGACAGACTTTGAGTTAGCCATGTACCATGTCTCTTTCAAATCTCCCTTGTGTGCTTGTTTGACAGGATTCTTTTAGGTCCTCCACTCAGGATCAGATATATCTGTTCTCCTAATGGTCCCCTAATTTTCCCAGGGTCTGATAATATTAATCAACCTGTTCTTCTGAGGTCTGAATCAGCCCCAGTTTTCCTGAGGTCAGGCTATACCCTAACTCCCAACCCCCATTTTCTGTCCTGACTAGTGTAGGCATCCTTGCCAGTCATGCGGAAATCTGTTCTGGGATCAGGCAGCAGTAGTCAGTCCCATTGCTGTTACAGCTAATAAACAAGCACCCTTGCCCCTGGTATATTGCTGCTTATTTCCAGGCATTGAGCACCCCCAAAGTGTGCAAAAACTTGTTTGCAGTTTTCGTAATGAATCAGAAAAGTCAAACACAGGGGTTGGGTTTAACTCAAAAAGTCACCTCCAGGGCCTTTATGTCTAGGGACATTTAACACATGTAAAGAACTCAGGAAGGGTTAAGAAAAATCTAGAGATGCCACTTAGTAACTAAAGCACATACTATTTTAGATATGGAGATAAATGTGAGCCTAAAATTATAAAAAACAAAAGACATGGTGGAGGGAGAAAGGGAGGGAAGAAGGGAGGGAGGGAGGGAAGGAGGGAGGGAGGGAGCTGTGAGCTGGAGCAGATGCTCTGTTACCCAGGAGGGTCCTGGCAGACCCCTGTGGCCAGTGCAGTGAGCTGATATGGAGCCCATCTGCATGCACCTTGGAGGTGCAGCAAGTGAAAGGGGAATGTGTGCCCCCTTTCCTCAGCACAGCATGGAGCTGCTGGTTGGGTAAGAGGGGAGCCGGCTGGATAACTTTCCTTTGCTGCCAGCATCAACTCACAGGCAGGACAACAGAGAATGTGCCTCTCTTCCTCTCCCTGGCAAAGAAATAGTCACCGTCCCCTAGAGCTGTTAGAAAGCCCAAGCTCCTGTTCATCCCCTATCTTCTAGCTGCCCACCCCTCCCTGCTATCAGTAGACTTTGCAAAGCTGTCCGGATGGCTCTTTACCTCCTGGAGATGGCTTGCCAAGGAAATGTCACTAGACAGGATCCGAGGAGGTCCCCAAGCAGAGACGGGGATTCTTTTTTCCTTTTTTTTTGAGACAGGATCTCACTATGTAGTTCAGGCTGGCCTTGAATTCACAACAATCCGAGTGCTGGGATTTACTGGCGTGTGCCACCATACCCAGCAAAGATGGGGATTCTTGACTCACACCACTCATGAGATAGGCTGCAGGTTCGTTAACTTCCCATCACAGAGAAAGAATTTTCAGGATGTATCCATAAGAGGCAGAAAGGGATTTATTAGGCAGAATTTTTAAAGCATACACTCAAAGGACTATGTGAGAGAAAAGCTTCAAAATTTTGCTTTTCTCAAAAGACATACTCTATTTAATAAAATGAAAAGTCAAGCCATAGACTGAAAGAAATATTTGCAAAATGTGTATCTGTCCCATTATCCCAATCCAAATATTTAATCAGATTCAAATATATAGAGAATTCTTGCTATCTGTGTGAGGTGTGTATGTGTGTAAGGAATATCTAAGGAAGAACAGCAATTATGTGGGTAGAAATGTGAAAAATATTTGAAACGAAACTTTACTGAAGAAAATAAAGGACTAAGAAGTACCTCAAAAACTTCTCAGCATTATTAATCATTAGATGAAAATTAAAACTGCAGGATAACACTACTTACCTTCCTGAATGTCAAAATGGCATGGCCATTTTGGAAGACACTGTGGCCATAATTTTAAAATATAACCAGGAGGGGGCTGGGGATTTAGCTCAGTGGCACTGTGCCTGCCTTGAAAGTGCAAGGTCCTGAGTTTGATCCTGGGTATGGGGATAGATAGATAGATAGATAGATAGATAGATAGATAGATAGATAGATCGATAGATCGATAGATCGATCTCCAGGAATTTTATCCCTAGGTTTTCACCCGTGGGAAATATGTCCACACAAAAGACTTAGGTGTAAATGCTTATAGCAGAGTCATTCCTAATACTTGAAGTCTGAGCAGAGCCAGAACCAGAACTGAAGAGAACAAATTGTATTAGAGCTATACAGTGGAATATACTACTCAGCATTAAAGAAAGTAATTGACACATGCTACAATATGGCTGAATCTCAAAAGTGTTGTGCTCAGTGAGAGAAGGTAGACATGGAAGAGTCATACTTAAGAATCTGTATGAAATACTAAAAAAGGGCAAAGGGCAAGACGGAACCAACTGTCAGGAGAAAGAACTTTTTGGGGATATGGAAATTTTCTGTATCATGACAGAACATGGTTATACAAATGTGTACATTTATAAAAATTTGCTAAATAATACAGTTTAAATTTGTGAATCGTATATAAATTATACCTCAATATGATCTCCAAAAATTAAAACAAACAAAAAAAAAGGTTGGAAAGACGTTCCAACAGAGAACACTAAAGCAAGTATCCTAATTTAGCAGAATATATGAAGTATTTTGGAAAGTGAATTTCATTTTATGGTCTTGTTTGATATTTTGGATTCCTTTTACCATAAGTTCAAGTGATGAAATAAGTGTTTGTAATGTGGCTAAAATGAAAATAATTTTAGATGAATAGATAATTGCAGAACAGCTCATCTGGTACACTCTTTTCTGATCTATTCTCTCCCCTCCTTTTTTTTTTGTTTTAACAGAAGTCCATATAATGCTTGATGGTCTGTTACCTCCTGACACCTATTTTAGATTCAATCCTGTCATGTGTGAAAACATTCCTCTAGACGAAAGTCGAAATGAAAAGCTGGATCAGCTGCAGTTGGAAGGGTTGAAGTACATAGAAAGAAATGAACAAAAAATGAAAAAACTTGCAAAAATATTAAGTCAAGAAAAAACAACTCTACAGAAAATTAATGATTGGATAAAATTAAAAACTGACATGTATGAAGGTCTTCCGTTCTTTTCAAAATTGTGATGATTATATGCATATGTTCTCATAAATGAAGGCCTGTTCAGAGGACCCTGAAAATTTAATAAGGAATTCTGGGGTTCAACATGAGTCAACTTTGAAATACAGATTCTGGGGAATCCTGAAAAAGATGGTGCTTTGACCAGGTTCCACAGTACAGAAGATACACGTGGTTACAGAATTCATATGAGAATGAAGTTTTTAAGGTGTTAATATTAACTAAGATTTAGGAATTTTATTGTTATTGTTGTTAAATTGTTTGATATTCTAAAGTTTATTACTATATGTGCCAAACAGGAAATTGAAAATATATTATACTTTGTATCTTTCCTTTAGTCATTGTAATCATGTTCAATTTATGTGATCATTGATTTTCTTTCATATGGAAAAGCTGATTTCTTACCATTACATTACTTGTGTTTTCACAAGCTTCATTCTGCAATTCACATGCTACCTTTTACTGTAATATCATCTAACCAGATACAGAAAAATGGAACTTTCCCTATTAAAGAACTTCTACACTTGAAATATGAAAGAACCAGATACAGTCTTCAATTCAAAATTTGCTTATTTCAGCATTATTTGATTTAAAAAGATAAATGAGGTTGCAATTAATTACCTTTTTCCTCTGAAATTTCAAGATAATGCTGTGTGAACTTTTCTGGATCTAGCTCTATCTTACCATTTGCAGTTATAAAATTATTTGATTTTACTGAGTATATTCCTGTCATTAACAGAAATAAATTATTGAAAATAGTCTGTTGTGAAAAGGCTAATGTTTCTAAATTTTTTGTTCATAATGCAGCTCCCATCCTGAGTTCGATCCTTGGTACCAAAAAAAGGGGGGGGGGCAGGGATTTACCTCAGTGGTTCCGCCGCCTGCCTCACAAGCACAAGGTCCTGAGTTCGATCCCCAGTACCAAAAAAACCGTAATGCAGCTCCCCATTTGTTGTAGCATTTGATACTGCACTTGATCTTAGCCAAAAGGCTGAGAAGCGATTCTTGTAGCATTTGAATCCACCTATCAACAGTAACACTTTAAAAAATGTTAGGCTTGCTATACTTTGTTAACTCCTTTAACCATGTGATTTCCGAAAAGTTAAAATGTTGACTTGAAACTGCTTGTGCCAAACAAATTCATCTTTGTTATGTTATCTATTTGCCATGTAAACCCTTACATCATGTTTAGATTTCCTAAGACAGTCAAACAGCTAAGTACTCCTACAACTGTCGCCTGGATTTCCCATTCCGGCTCTGCAGTGTGGGTTCACAGAGGCCATGGGGTGTTGGTTCAGAGACTGTTGGAGGGAGTTACCGTGTCTGTGCTGCACAGTCCTCTCCCAGTGACCTTGAGGGCTGGGCTTCACGTACCTCATCTGTAAAATGAGTAAAGCTAGCTCCAAAATTTTGTAACATCTAAAGTTCTTAGTTTTTAGTCACAGAATAAGTAAACTTATAGTGATTTCTAAAGATAATGTAAAAATCTTTTCAGGCCACAGAACAGCTTATAAATGTAGGAAAATTCCAAATGATCAGCAACCTGAGTATTTGGGGAATTCTTTGTTATAAAGCAAATTTCAACCACAATAAAGTAATATTTACATAATTGACCTATTTGTACCTTATAAGGTCACTCCCTCACCTGATGTAATTTCTCTGTCTTGCAGCTGAACTTCACACTGTTCCTATTTGTGCTTGGCCAGTCACTTCCCTCCTGAGTAGTATGGACGCAAGTGAACTCTAGCCATGGCTCCTTTCTTCACCCACATAGCATGGCTCCTACATCATCTGTTTTACTCCAACACAAGGTACATCAGTTGTGTGGTGCCCTTGTTTTCAACTGCTTTTGTTCCTGTTTATACCTGAAACTTGCTATCTGAAGAACTGTGTAATTCACCTGAGATAAACCTCATTGTATTATGGGGCCAGTGCTTTCTATGTCCAAAATCAACCCCAAAAAGTAAATTCACCAAAAGGACGAGAGATTATGGAAAAAGCTGTAGATATGAATGAGTTTATGACCTTGAAGTGCCCGCCTTTCCCAAAAAAGCAACGAGGAAGAAGAATGTTTTATAAGATGTATTAAATTCTCTAGCTTGATTATATTAAAAAATAGATTATTTTGATGCTCCTGCCTTCCTTGATGTCTCAGAAATCTTACTTCTTTGCTAAATGGTGTACTGGCAATATTTTCATTCTGTTCTTGCTGCAGGATATTTTTCTTTGTTAAAAATACTACCTCAGATGAGTTTTCCCTAGAGGACCAAAAGCTGGATGGGATTTCCCTCAGAGGGTGGAAAGCACCCCAGCTGGATTATAATTACACAGTGCACTTTTCCCTCCCACACCGCATTTTCTAGCCAGGAGAAAGCAGATGTCAAAGGAATCTTGAGAGGAAGTCACAAAACCTGCATGTGGTCTGAGGGGATAGAGGGGAATCTTTCAGCTTTGTTTCTGTGCTAGGAGAGAAGTCCCTTTGAGCTTTTTCCCCCTAGCAGTTACTGGCAGCTGCGCCACCTTTCACTTAGGATAAAGCTGCTGATTACTGAAGTAGGGCTCCTAAAGTTCAAAGCCTAGAATTTTACCTGCTGTGCTGTAGAGTAGTTCTAGTCAGTGGAATATTTCACAAGCATCAGTCCCAGTAGTGTGACTAAGATCATAGCTAACATTTGAGTATTTACTGAGTACTAGGAGTTGACCTAGGCAGGTTTACCATTAGCACATTTAATTGTCACAAGCTTATGAGGTAAATATCATTATCCCTTTAATACCACAGCTAGAAAGTGATAGAGCTAGGACCAATCCACTCTTTTAGCTACAACTCTACTCCTCTTCCTAGAGAGTCCTTTCCTGGAGTGTTGTGAAATGACTTTACAACCAGTTTGCTAGACTGAATCTGTGAGACACTGGGTTTAATCAGTGACGCAATGTACTTAGCTCAGTAACTGTCACCTCCATCTCTATGACCTCAGTTTTTTTGGGGAAAAAATTATTCCAACCTTATTTATGTGGATACTCCTTTTTATGTCTTTGTGTAACAGTAGCTCTTTACTAGTAGAGGTTTTATCATCTCCTTGGAAGGATTTGCAAACCTAGAGGAGAGAGGGGAGATTGTCTGGGGGGAAACTAGCGTTTAATGCTCCAGCAGTCAGAGATGGTAAAGGCTATGGTAATAATGCACAGGGCATGGGACAACCCCTCATGATGAAGAACCCTCCGACCCAAAACAGCAGCATGGCTCCCTTCAGAAACCCTGAGGTGCTGCTTCACAGAGTAAAAGTAATGCAGTTGTTTAACAGGAAATTGAAGATATGCTTTGCCCAGTTAGGATGCATAAATCATTTGTAAAATTCCATTCTGGTTCAATCCCAACAGAAATTCTTTTCTCTGTTCATTGTTCCTTGTTTTAGGGGTTTTTTTTTTTCCTTTGCCAAGTTTAGATACAACTGAACTGTTCATTTAATTTTATTTTTTGAAGCAAATCTATGGCAGTTACTCTTTCATGACTAGGAAATAGGAAGAAAGGGGAGCACATTAAAAAACAGTTTGTTCTGTTCCTGGCAGGAGCTATCTACCATCCAAAAAGATTCATAGAGTACAGATGTCCCTGGGCTAAACAGTTTGCGTGTGTTGGTCCAAGGTTTTGATAAATGTGTCTCTCAGAAGTCACACTGATTGCTTTGTTCATTATAACCTTTACTCAACTGATGTGAGTGAATTGAAATTCATCACACTCCACAGATATGCATTATTAGTTTGGGTAATTAGTTTGTTAAAACTATTGACTGTAATGTTAACTTGCCTTCATGATAAAAATCTTCAACTTAATATGATTCATGCCTTGCCTCTTGGCAATGTAAGTTGTGAGATGTATTTTAAAGATTTCAATCTGATTTAATAGGAACAGGTTACATGGTCCAAATGGTTGAAAGTTCTAGTTATAGTTGTAGATAATATTTATTTCCATCTAATCTTCCCAACAACCTTATGAGATAGGTATCATCATTATCCCTATTTTATATAGCAGCACTGAGAAGATAATAATAGTGAGAAAAGTCATATTTCTTTACTATCAGTAGGAAATTATAGATAGTATGAACATATCTATAAAAGTCTTTCCAAAATTAAATACTGTCTCTAGAATTTCAAATGCTGTAATACCTTTTCAGATATTGTATTCTAATCAAATTTAAATCTACATTACATTTAAATCCCTTATTTCTATTACGGTGATTTTCAGAGACCAAAATAAATGCATCTGTTTTATAGAAGAATAAAATAGTAAGTCAGCAATTGCTACTTGGTAATGCTATTTCTTACAGCAGCTACTATTATGTTTGTGAGAGGCAAAGTAATTAACGCCAATCCAAAAGTTTATTCAATTATCTAAGAAAGGCTGTGTCATCTTACATGAATTATATTGCATAGTATTCCCAACACACTTTAGTCCAAAAAACTAATGTAGAATTTTAACTAAATTAGCCATCAAAATAAATTTAAAAGAATGTGATTGCCATCCAAAAATTCCATTCCCTGAGCCAACAGAACAAAGTATTTAAAAGGAAGAAAAGAAAGTGATCACATTTTCTATGCTGATACACATGTCCTTGATATTCACTTTTATAAATTTGGCTGAAGTAGGTGTTATCCTCATTCTATTGTGTACAATCAGGCCCCATTTGAAAAAGTGTTCTAGCATAAGAAGCACAGTCACTATTCTTTTGTATTTATAGAAACATGAACATTTTAAACAATTTTTAGTCTCTCAAATTGAAAAAATTAAAGCCAAAGAGTAACTTAAACCTCTCTGTGCCTTTCAAATATAGTCTTAAAAAGTTTTTTCTATAATGCCAGCAGAATTGTCATTTAAGAGCTTTCTATTTCTCAGTCACTAAGACCACATTCTTGTAGATCGCAGGTGCTGTTTTGCTGCTTTTGAATGAACATGTTTGGTATGAGGATGCAATTAATCCACACACATCTAAACATGCCCTAATGAATCCATTTCCTATGTTGAATTATGTGAAAAATTCCCAATGCTGAAACTCAAAACTATGGAAGCAGTGGAGCTTTAGTTGTGTTGGCATATGATGCAAATATCTTTTCATATGTATATACAGTGTAAGAAGAAATGTGTTTCAAAGGTTTCATGAAGTTTGAATAGTGTAGAACTTTAGAATGTAGTGCTTACACCATTCTCACCTTTTGAGCATGGAAATGGTGACCTGACCTTCAGACACAGCATCACACTGCCACATCCAGTTCATTCCAAGTGTAGTCATCAGCTCAACTCTAACCCTCTGAGTAATTTTCACAGGCAGAGAGTTACTTGAAGGAGAAAAAAGTATCTTGAATGTACAAGAAGGTAAACCCAGCAATCATAAAAATATCTGCAAAAGTGATTATTTCAATTTTAAAGCATGTAACTAAAATGGCTACATTTGCTTGCTTGCTATGACTCATGAGAAGGGAAAATTCTCATTGGAAAATAATTGAAATAGCAGCATTTTCTTCATTTTTGTCTCATTATGGAATCTCAATCCAATTTACCATATGCTTCTTGTATCTTACAGCTTCTAGGACACTGCTATACGTTATGGGTCCTTAATATTCTTTCTTTTTTTTTTGGTACCGGGGATCGAACTCAGGTCCTTGCGCTTGCGCAGCAGGTGGCGAAACCACTGAGCTAAATCCCCAGCCCTTTAATGTTCTTTCTTATGTTAAGCTTTACTGCATCATCTGCCTTATACCACTATGGAGAGATAGGGTAATAAAATTGCTCTTTAAAATAACTTTTAAAACTAGTTCTTTTTAAAATCTGAAAATAGGGTCTTATTCCCTGTGCCGATGGGTGGAATCAGTGATTGGGATCATGTGCTGTAATATGGACCATAACCCTTTCTAGACAATAAATATTGCACAGATTACAGAACCTGAGGGGCCAGGGATCTAGCTCAGTGGTTCCACTGCCTGCCTCACAAGTGCAAGGACCCGAGTTGGATCTCCTGTACCAAACAACAACAACAACAGAACCTGACATTTCCTTGCCCCCAGTGCCTGAGGTAAACACCATTCACACCATTTACATGCCTTATATCTTCACAGGGACTCAAATACATCCCTTCTGGCCACAGGATAAAAGATTTATTTTGTTTGAAAGATGAGCTTTTTGAAAAGCTGTCTCTGAACAATATCTGCTCATTCTAAAACCATATCCCATTCCTCATCATTACACCCTAACCTGCTATCTTCCTCATTTTGTCAGATTGAGTCATTTTATTGGGCTACCATATTGCCTAGATCCTTCAAGAAACTCTGTTCATAAATTAATGGGCAAGCAAGCTCTGTACCTTCAATGAACAACAGTTGTGCTAATACATTTGTATATAGCACATTTATAATTACCTATGGCTTTTTGAAAAATTTCTAAAACATCTTCAGATATGCTTTCTCGTTTTATTTTAACAAATGCCCTGTGCCTTAGGGAAGGCAGCAGTTATCCCACAAAAGAGTTTGGCAAAGTACGGCATTGAAAGTGGAGGTTTGTCTGGTTCCCTTGTTACATTTCATGACTTGAATCATTGAATTCCCAGCCCAGGACTCACTACTGCTTTCCAAATTATGGTTGAGGGCTTACTGATTTTGATCATGGTGGTGATCTGTATTTCCATCCAGTGATTTCCTATAAGAGGAGACAGAAACGTTCCTTTGTTTTTCTAAAATGACATTTGTTAGGTGCCATTTGTATCATTAGCCTGACTCTGTATGTCATTTCAGTATCTCAAAGAATTTGTCCTCTAAACATTCTGTGAAGGACAAACAATGAAAGAGCATAGTGGACAATGTCCTACACATTGTGGAAATACACAGATAGAACAAAGTAGGTTGCATCATTGTTGAATTTTATATATAGTTTCTCTGAAGATGAAGGTCTCTGTAGAATCCTAAGTGATTCAGAGTGTGGCCTCAGACAAGTTACTTAACTTCTGTTATGACTTGGATCTTAAATGTTCCCTGAAGGCTGGTTCCCCAAAACAGCAATGTTCATAGATAGAACCTTTGGAAAATGACTGGATCATGAGGACTCCAACATCATAGATGGATTAATGCACTGATGGATTCATATGGTAATGGTTGGGGGGGGCGCGTTGTTACAAAAACAAGGTTTCTCTTCCTGTTTCTCTAGCCACCAGGAAGTGAGCAGCTTTGGTCAGCTGTGTGCTCCCTGTTGTGGTGCTTTGGTGACCTCCACACAGGCACAGAAACAACAGACTCCAGGTACCATGGACAGAAACCTCTGAAACCATGAGCCAAAGTAAGTCTTTCCACTTTTAAGTTGATTTTCTCAAGTATTTTGTCACAGTCACAGACATAGCTGACAAAACTCTCAGAGACAAGAGTTTTATCTTCTGAAAAATGCAGAGTTGTGAGCACTAGCAACGGTGTAGGTCAAAGTACCTGGAATATAGTAGGTTTTAATAAATATTAGTGTTAATATTCAATATTTTGTGTCCTGAGAAAATAAATTATAGAAGGAAAGTGCATTAAATTAATTTTCACTGAAATAAATACTGTCGTTCTGAAAGCAAAATATTTCTCAAATGTGATGTTACAGACTAAATTGTACAACACTCTTTCCCCTCCAGTCTTTGAAAGAATCATGCAATCATTTTTTTTACTTTTTGTATTACCTTTTATTATTATATCATATGATGCTGCTAAAAAAACATAAATTTCGTGTTTAGATTTGGAGCCCATCCTCAAAATATCTCTTCATGGATATGCAAATATTCCCAAATAAATCTGAAATCTGAAGCACTTCTGGTCCCAAGAATATTCAATCTATACAATAGTATGGGGATATAAATTGAGGATATGAATAATGCCCATTCTTGCTTATGTGAAAATAATTTAATAGATTCTAGAGACCAGTGCTTGTGTGCTACATAAATTAGTGCATTCCATGTTATTTGCTTCCAAATAATTTTCAGTGTCCGTGTTTTTGAAATTTATTTCAGAAAACAACATGAACTTGGAACCTGTAGACTTCATATGTTTTTATATTTTGCCAAAAAGATACTTAATATATTCAGGAAATTATGTTTCTCCTGGATCTCAGAAGTTATGTACTGTGCAGTCATGTCATTTGAATTGAAACCAGTTCGCTATTAAATATATCACGGGCTTTTCTATCCTTACCTCAAGTCTTGACTGCAGAGTCTTTCCCGTTTCGCTGAGACTGCCTGTCAAGAAATGGTGACAGAGGGCAGCCCTTCTAGCTGAGTCAAGGCTACAAGGCTGGAATTTTGGCAAGCAGGGCAAGAGCAGTCTCCAGAGAACATCTGCACTTCGTTTTTGTGAGCCTCGACCTAGGAATTTAAATTGTAGCTGAATTTAATTTAATTAAAATTTAATTTGTAGCAGAAGAACAAAATTCTTTGTGCTACCTTTAGGCTCAGTGTGATTTAAAACTTATTTTTTAATCAGGGACCCTCATTATACTTCACAGTGCACACACAGCTCTGGAGCTCTTTATTCACTGATCGAGATTTATTAGACACTTAGTATGTGTCAGACATACTTAAGAAATGATAATAATGGGTCAGACTTTAGTGAAAATACCAAAGTCCCGGACCTTGTGATTCAGAAGATAGTGTCTTGATCTTTGAAGCAGTCATTTGGGAAAGCTTTGGAACTGTCTTCCTATGTGTAATTATATTATAATTAATTTCTTTTACTAAAAGTATGGCGGTGGAACTCACAGTGACTTTGAAGAAAACAAGTTTCGTTTTGTTTTTTTCAGTACTGGAGATCGAACTCAGGACCTTGCGCTTGCCAGACAGGTGAGATACCACTGAGCTACATCCCCAGCCCCAAGAAAACAAGTTTGTACACATGACCTTACTGCAAGTTAACCCTTGTGAGGTAGAGTTTCTTAATCCTGTAAACTGAGATAACAATATCAGAAAATCGTATGGTTGTAAGGATGAAACAAGATAAAAAAAATCACATAATATCCACATATACTTGACTGACACGTAATGCTCCATGAAGAATCACTGTTCATTATTCCTTAACCCAAAATGATTTCAGTGACAATGAACATCATCTTGCTTAATAAAAATCCGGACTTGTAAAAAATTAAGACTTAATCACATTATTAATAAATACCTTCTACATCACAAAACTTTTATTTATCTTTATGCAATACAAGTATGCAGTAATGAGCAAAATATACCAAAGTTTAAATTTTTTTTTATTTCTTTTTTTTGGTACCTGGGATTGAACTCAGGACCTCATGCTTGCCAGGCAGGTGCTGTGATGCTAAGCTACATCCCCAGCCCTTATTTCTATTTTTAAATACCATTATTTCCAAAAAGAATCATTAAAAAGCCTAAGTGTAGAAAATCTTTTAAGTAAGCACATACCCTGCTTCACCCATGTGTGTTTCCCTTATTGTAAGATCAAATAACTATGGTGTATTCTATTTCTGGACCATCTTTCAAAGATCACCAGAATGCCAAGACCCCTAACCCAGGGCACACATTCGCGAGTGCTCTATCCTTGGGCTTTAGAGTAAGAACATTCACTACCTAAACTACAAGTTTCACTGCCAACTCCAAGGAATGTCCTCACGCCCACCAATTTCCACTCACTGGTGTAGGACATGACGATGGAGAAGGGAAAGAAATGATAAAACCAAACCAAGATCATCAATAAAAATATTTATTGAAAAGAAGGTGTGTCCAGTCACATGTTAGAGAAATGACGTAGAAACAGTCCAAAGTTTGTCATCTTAATAGAATGGTTTATTTGCAAATTACCTTTCTCTTGTATGCGTTTCAAGTTGCAGTCATAGTGGACATAGCATTTTGTGTCCCACCATTTTCACTTAAAGTAGCACTAACAGACAGTTTGCATGTTCCTCGGCCTTAATGATCATTTGAAACTACAGTGCGGTACCCTCATTTTGTGTTACACTGGAAGTTGTTAGACTATTAATAGGAGGGTCCTTTAATTTTAGCAAATGGAAGCAAGCAGGAGATGAAGTGGTTTGGTTTCTGCTACCTTTTCTGTCTCAAAACAGCACTTGGTAAGAGAAAACAGCCCAGGTGCAACAACAGGAGGCAGCAACAAGAAGCTCAGCCCGGGACAGTCAACGCTGTCTGTCTGTCTGTCCCTCTCCTTTCCTCCCCACCAGCCCTTTCTTGCCTCAGGAGATAAGGCACTGCACTCTGCCACACCCTTACGCCAAGGTGTTCTGCCCAGAAGCAATGGCGCCACTCAATCATGGAGTGAACAAGTCTTTCCTCCTTTAAGTTTTTCCCTCGGGTATTTTGTCATAGTGGTGAGAATCTGATTAACACATGGGTGATCTTTATTTAAATTGTGAACAGAGGTAATTTAATACAGCTTTATATTATTCCAAGATCTCTAATACTCTGTAATGCCATCATCATCTGTCCTAATTTTTAATTTGGAAAGTATGGTCACTACTTTTATTTATTGCTTATGGACAGTCCTTTGCAGTGACTTCATTTTTTTTAAACTTTCTAGATCCAGTCTGTTGGCATTTAAATACAGGCCAGTCTCCCTATTTTACAGACAGACGTCTCCTCGGGTTCCACGTTCTCCCCATTTGCTCCAGGTCGTCACTACTCACAGGTCTCCTTTTCAGTCTCCTCTTCAGTCTACACTCCAAGCTGACTCCTCCTAATCACCCCGGACTTGCCTTTCTCTAAGGTTGCCAGTCTTCTGTCTAGGAATGGTTTCTCAGGTCTCTCTTCAGCCTGTTAGCAACATTTCACTGCAGAACATTCTCTCCTCAGTTTTCAGAGGCTTCCAAACTGCCCTTTCCAGGGTTTCCCCTTTACCTCGTGAACTTCTCAGCTTGCTTTGCCCTTTGGCAAAGGACTCGCTTCTCTGCTGCAGGGCAAACCCCTGCTCTCCACTTTCTCAGTCGCCCTCTCCATCTCCCGCAGACCTGTCCTGTGCGCAGGACACACACACACACACACACAAACACACACACACGCGCGCACACACATGCACATGCACACATTACTCGTCTCCTGTTCTTGGGACAGCAACAGCACTTCAGGCTCAAGACGCTAAGCTCTGCCTGGGCACTCTGCCCTACCCCTAACTCCCCAGCTGACCCTCGTCCAGGTTGTTCTATCCCACTAACCCGAGCGGTCCCAGCCTAGGCCCCCACACCTCCTCCACCTGCTATTTCCCTTAGTCCTGATCAGGCCCCATCAGTGTTTAGCCCTCAGTTTACAGAGCCTTATTCCATTCGTTCTGCTTCATTTCCATCATTTTTCCCCTGAGCCCTTTAATAAGCCTCTGAATTAGTCTCCTACATCCACTCTTGTTCCTTCTAATCCGTTCTCCATCTGTAAGCAGGAAGCTTAAAATCCTTCAGTGTTCCAAAATCCTTATCGCAACATCAAGGGCCTGTGTCACCTGGCCCGTGTGTCCCTGCAGCCTCAGCTCATGCATCTTTCCCGTTTCCTCAGCGTGCTCCAGCCTCCGGCTGCTCTATCAGGTGCTTGCATGGCCCAAACCCTCTTACCTTTTGTGGTCTATACAAATCCCCTTTCTTGTTCCCAGTGGTCTCTTTCCCCTTGCTCACTTCACTCAGCTTAAAACCCTCCGAGAAATGTGTCTGGTCCTCAGGCATAAATTTGGTTCCACATATTTACAATCTTCTTACATCCTCAGCTTTTCTTTTGTTGCACTTTTTACAACTGAAATGAGATAATTAGGCAAATATTTGTTTAGTGTCATTCTCTCCTTTCCAAGCTGAAAGAATCCTGAGATGGGGATTCTTGCCTCTCTTACTGCTGCAGCTCTTACTGCTGAGCACCCTATTTATATATTGGGTGCTCGATGAATTTATTGAAAGCACAAGTGGACCTTGATTCAAATCCCTGCTGGAATTTTTTACTGTGTGACTTTTTTTTGAGATATATTGTGTATTCTAGGCTGGCCTTGAACTCACTATGTAGTCCAGGCTGGTCTCAAACTAGCAGCAATCCTCCTGCCTCAGCCTCTTGAGTGCTGAGTCCTGGGATTACAGGAATGCACCACAACGCTTGGCCTTACTATGTGCTATGGCTTGTGTCTAGATGTCCCCCCAAAGCCTCATGTGGTCATAGGTGGAGTGTTTTCAGAGGTGGCTGGATCTGGAGCATGTGATGCTGGGATCAAGGATTTGTCCATTGATTGGCTTGGCACAGTTCTAGGTAGGATTAAGAGTGTGAGTGCTACCTGGCCTACGGGTGGGTATCCTGGATAAAAATATAAGGAACAGAAAAAGAGCAGCAATTGTCTCTTGTCTCTTGCTTGCTACTTGCCACCTGCCTGGCCTGCTTTGCACATGAACTGTTTCTCTTCTGCGATGCCCCTCTGCAGTGCCACGCTGCCTTGGAGCCAGCCCACTATGGACTGAAACCTCTACACACTGTGAGCCAAATAAACCTTTCCTCCCTTAACTGTGGGTGTCAGGTATGTTGTCTCAGCAACAAGAAAAGTAAGTAAGATACCATGTGACTTTGAGCAAATATCCTCTGGAATCTCAATGTCTCCAATTCACAAATCTCACACTCTTCTCCCAAATTCAGAGCCTGTTATGTGCCAAGCTTTTTGTTAAGCACTATACACAAGTATGCTTTTAATTTTTCAGAAAAAAGCTTTAACTAGAAAGTAAGAAAAATAGTAAGGGACCTTAGCTTGGGGAGCTGACAAAGATCAGGTTGGTTCTTAACAAAGGCGAGTAAGAAACCCCGCTTGAGCATCCAGGGATGGGGGGCTCATTCTAAGGAAAGGGAGCAGACTGGCCCTACACAGGTGTTTAATTGGCATAACATATAATGACACATCAAGATTTAAAACTCAATAGTTTAAAAAATTACTGTCTTCAGTAACAAAATATCTTATATGCTCTATATAATATACCTGCTCACTTGCTTAGGTTGATATTTCTTAAAAGAAGTAACTTTTGTGCTTTTAGTATCCAATACCTAATGTTTTATATATGCTACAATGCTGTTTAAAATATTGCTAATAAAATTAATATCAAAATTGTGGAAACTTTTGAGACATTTGGCTACTGGGAGAAAAAAAATCTCAGGGTTCTTGGCCAAAAATTAAGATAGCAGTAGTCATTTTTAAGAAAATTTTATTGTTCCAATTAATCTTGGCTCCCTCTTCTCTGCTGTTTCATGAAAAAGAAGAATTAGGATTAGGTCTATTCAAATATGAACTATTGCTAAACCAATATTAAATCCAGAAGTAAATTTAGTGTCTTCAGTATGTTTTAATGTATCAGTATACCCATTTCATTAAGAAATAGATTCATTATCTTCCCTAACACATGGGGGATTGGGAAAGGTCTATAATTGTAGGTTCACATGCAGGTCTAACTAATTAAAAGAGCAGGATTGATATCCAGGTTTGAATGTAGAATTCTTAGGTTCTTCGGTGTTCTGTGTTAGAATGTGGTGGTGTGGGAAGACCCAACCTAGAGCCCACCCCGGCTTACCTATTAGTCTTAAGCCTTTTGAAACCCTCAAGCACACTCAGTTTGAGTACTCCAACCCACACCCACATCTGTGCAGGCACCTGTACCAGCCACCTATGAGGTCTGCAGCTGTGCACAACAGCAGAGCAGTCCATTTTGGGCAGCATGGAGAAGGAGCTTTTCTTTTCTTTTCCTTTCTTTTCTATTTTTTTCAGACAGGGTCTTGCTATGTAGTTCATGCTGGCCTTGAACTCTCAGCAATTCTCTGCCCTCAGCCTGGAAAGTGCTGGGATCACAGGTATGCACCACCACACCCTGCCAGAGAAGTAGCTTTTGCAGGTCCCACTGGAATTCTTCAATCCTAGGTACCCAGATGCGGTCTGTAAGGGGGAGGGTGCTACAGGCTCTGGGAGGGCCAGAGCAGGGCCTTCTAAAACACTAGACTCTCCTGTATTCTATGGATAGCTGACAAGAAAATGTTGGAAAAACTTAGACACATTAGGATGGCTAAAACAAATGGTAAAACAAGTAAGTTTTGGCAAGAAGGTGGAGAATGTGGAACCTTTGTGCACAGTTGGTGGAAATGTAAAGCAATGCAGCTGCTATGGAAAACAACATGCTGATTCCTCAAAAAACTTAAAATAGAATTATTATATGATCTAGCTAGATCTAGCTAGAGACCTAGCAATCTCTGTTCTGTGTATATATCCAAAAAAGTTTTAAAGTAGGATCTCAGGGAGATATTTGTACAGTTGTGTTCATAATAGTATTTATTATTCACTGGGTGTAGAGGTGCACTCTTATAATCCCAGCACTTGGGAGGCTGAGGCAGGAGGATTGCTGCAAATTTGAGGCCAGTCTGGGCTACACAGTGAGTGCAAGGCCAGTCTGGACTACATAGTGAGAACTTGTCTCAAAAAAAAAGTATTATTCATGAGAACCTAAAGGTAGACGCAACCAAGTGTTCATCAGTAGATGAATCAATAAAATGCGGTATGCATGTGTAATAGAATATTATTCATCATTTAAGAAAAAATTCTGACATATAGTTGGACCTTGAGGACACTATGCTAAGTGAAATAAGCCAGTTACAAAAAACTACTGTGTTATCCCACTTATCTGAGGTGCTTAGAACAGTCAAGTTCATAGTAAAAAGAATGGTTGCTATAGACCCTGGAAGGAGAGGGCAAGGGGTAGCTGCTCTTTAATTGGTATAAAGTTTCAGTTTTCAAGGTGAAAAGAGTTCTGGAGAGGGCTTGTGGTGAGGGTTGCACAATGTACTTAACACCACTGAACTATGCCCTTAAAAATTGTTAAGGAGGTAAATTTTGTCAGGTGCATCTTATCATGATTTTAAAAATATTCAAAGAAGTAAAATTTAAATCAAGGGTTAAAAGAAAATGCAAATTGTGTATTAACCTAAAACCCCCTTTCTTTTCTTTTTTTTTAAATACCGGGGGATTGAACTTGGGACCTTGTGCTTGTGAGGCAGGCAGCAGAACCACTGAGCTAAATCCCCGGCAAGACCCCCTTTCTTCTTAAAAATGCAACAAATGACAGGTAAATATGAGGGATGTTAAAAAGTATGGTGAATGTTTAAATTTTTAAAAATTATTACAGTAAAAGACACTTTGCTATAGATCCCCCTCAAAATATTTCCTCACTTTGAACACGCTTATCCCATCATCCTTGCCATTTTCTGAAGCAGCTCGGGAAGTCCTCCTACTCATGAGTGTCTAGCTGTGCTGTCCTGGCTGCCTCCATGTCCTGGATTGATTCGAAATGTTTACCTTTCATGGTTTTTTTGGAGAAGAGCTGGAAGTCATAGGGTGCGAGGCTCAGTGAATAAAGTGGATGAGGACACATCACAATATTTTTATTTGACAGACATTACTGTAAACAGTGAGGGGCGATCAAATATACAGTGACTTTAAATTTTTAAATTTCACTACAGGAAAAGACATATTGCCATTAATCTCCCTTGAAATACTCAGAATATTCCATCTCACTTCAAACTCACTTATCCCATGATTCTTGGCAATGTGTCTTTTACTGTAATGAGTTTAAAAAAAAAAAAAAATTTAAACATTCACCCTATTTATCGATCACCCCTCATAAGAAAGCCACTGAATCACTGTTTACTTAGAACAGCAGAGTCCTGCATCTGAAGTACTTTTTTCCTTTCCTCCGCAGTGAATTTATCTTCATTGTACCTGTCAGCTTTCCCCCTGAAGCCAGAAATGAAGGGCAAAGATCAGAAGTTTCTCAGCATCTCTTCCCGAGCAGCAGTTTCCTGTCCTTGATGACCCCATCTGCAACGGCTGATTGGACATGGACCTTGGCTAGTCTTAAATCTGTTTTGCAGAACCTTTGTACATTCCTGTAGACGGAAACTGTAGGAACAGATGGAGGAGTTGGCTATAGGAACATGCTTATTATCACTGAAAATGCTCCTGCTCTTTCCAACTTGGTTCTCCAAGCATGGCAGGCAGTGGGTTGAGCCAAAATGAAGATCCTAGTGACTCACAAGCTCTCAGAGAAGAAATCCACATATGGCAGCCACAAAGGGCACATTCCCCGCAGTGTGACCATCACACTGCACACCACCTCCTTTTAGTTAGGTGTGGGGATACCGTGTTGCTAAGCACCAGGTAAGACACGGGTTTCAAATTTCTGCTTCTGTTTGCCACGTGCCCAAATGGCATCAGGCTGGCACGCAGGATTCTGTGGTTGTGTGGCAGATGGTGAGGCGAAGCATGGGGGAGCAACTGGTGTTTTGCGTCTGTGGAAACTTTCCATTGCTCATGGATCAGGTGATGCATCAAACTGCACGTCCTAGCATTACTTGTATATTGTGAATATATAACTGCATATACTATTATTATCCATAATGAGTAACAATCACACACTACAAAGTTTTAGCAGTGTGGGCCAGCTGACACTGTGGCTGGCAGCTGAGGGGACAAAAAGGACCAGCTCTGGCTGGGGCACAGTGGACAGTCCACCCCCGAGTGGTGTAGGGGCACAGTATGACTCTGGGGTGTTGAGCTAGGGAAGACTGGGGCTAATTGGAAAAGCCATACTGATGCCTCATCTCTCTCACAATTGCTTCTTTATCTAGCACTGCATCTTCACCTTATGCCAATGGCAGTTGAACGTTTTTGTCCTTTTTCTAGCCAGGAAATAGGCCTGTGGTCAGATGCAGAGTCAGAGCTCTGAAATACACTTAAACAGCTATGTCAGTGACGGATTCAGCATCTTAACATAGCAGCATTTCTTGTCTTACAATTTCTGTGGGTCTGGAGATGAAACACAGCTTGGCTGAGTCCAAGGCACAGGGTCTCCCATGGACTGAAGTCCAGGAGTCAGCCCGGGCTGGTGTCTTCCCAAGGCTTGGCTGGGGGACGACGGGCTTTCAAGTTCACCCATGAGACTGAGGCAGCAGTCAGCTCCTTTTAGTCCTCCCAGGCTGTCAGCCTTTGTGTGCACAGCTCGACACAGGCAAACTCATGTCTTCCAAGCAAGCAGGCAGATGAGCAAAACAGAAAGCAGAGTCATTCATAGCCTGGATGTCAGGGGTGACCTCCCACTGGCGTGGTTAACTGTTCCTCAGAAGCGAGCCACTAGGCCTAGACGATACTTGCTACAGCGTGGATCTAGAATGTTCCCAAGGCCTATGCGTTGAAGGCTTAGTCCCCAGATTGGTGTTGGCATCTTTCAGGGGTGGGGCTTAGTGGGGGCCACTGGGACTGTGCCCTGGAACGAGACTGCAGGACCCCAGCCTCGTCTCCCTTCTCCTTTGTTCCCTGGCCATGAAGTGAGCAGTCTTGTTTCACCGTGCACTCCACCATGATTCCCACATCATGAGCCTAGAAGCAATGGGGCTTCTTTTGGTCCTCGGACCAACCACTGACTGAACCTCTGAAACAATGAGCCAGAATAACCCTTTTCTCTTTATTAGGTGGTTATCTCAGGTGTTTGTTACAGAGACAGAAAGCTAACACAGTGAGAGGTGTGGATTGCACAAGGGCATGAATCAGGAGGAGGGGTAAGTGGAAGCCATCTTAGAAACTTCTCAGATAATAACTATGCTTTTTGACAACACTGGGTTGCAGTGCTCTTTCATATAGAACACAAATGCATGTTGCTCAGCCACAGAGTCTTAAAATGATGACATTGGCATAAGTCATTTTTTCTGGGTGTGGTGGCACACACCTGTAATCTCAGCACTCAGGAGGCTGAGTGCTGAGGATTGCCACAAGTCTGAGGCCAGCCTGGGTTACACAGTCAGTTGAAGGCCAGCCTGAACTACATAGCAAGACTCTGTCTCATCATTTCCCCCAAAAAAAGAAGAAAAAAAGAAATAAGCCATTTTTATAACAAGCTACCCTGTGATGCTATTATAGAGTATATTTTTTTTTTCAGTGCTCCAATCTTCCTGACCCAAAATTCAGCCATCTTTCATCTGAGTTTCACTAGAGGAGTCAAATAAATGCTCTTGGTTACCATTAGAGTCATAAAGTGGCACAGCTGAAAAAGAATTTCCATGTTCACCTAACCCGACTCTTTCATTTCACAGTATGGGAACAGGCAGAGAGGGGAAGTAATTTGCTCATGAAAACACTGCTCATTATTAGCATCACTGGGTCTCTGTTAGGTCTTGGAGAAATTAATATCAGGTTTTAGGGCACAGCTAAGTACACCACCTCCCCTGACAGGCCCGAGGCATGCATGCGGATTAAGAAAACTAGGATGAAAAATTAGGCAAGAGGAAAAAAAAGTGGAGAAGGAAAAGAAGAGATAGAATTCTGAGAAACTGCAAAAGAAGAGAAAGGCAAAAACATATTCATTCATCGCAGGTACCACTGGGGGGCTCCATGGCCTTCTGATTCGCAGTTTTCATGCAGTGTCATTCTGATGCATCCATCAACACAAGAGAACTTTAGTGCGCCGTGATTGGCAGGTGGTGTAGCAGTGTGGTTAAGACGGTGGGCCTGTAGACTCCTAGTACCCAGGATTGGGTCCCGTCTCTGCGGCTGGCTGTGTGATCTCTGCCAGTTACTTTTTTACCTCTCTTGCCTCGTTCCCTGAAAGGGGAGGACAACAGTACATACTGCATGGAATGGCAAACGTGAAGTGCTCACAACAGCCCCAGGCTTAGGGAAAATTCCTTGTTATCAAGTGATGAGGACAACAGACTTACCTCATTCCCAGCCCTCATGTGGGTTAGGACGGACTGAAGCTCAGAATAGGAGGTGGGGGCGTAAGGTGGGGAGGTGAGTTGGGCATCTCACTGGCGATGCAGCCAATTGGAAATGCCGTGTGCATCACCAAGCAAATCAAATAGAACGCATTAGAAAGTCCTTTGCCCACTCAGGCATCCTTCTAATCCTTTTTCAGATCATTCTTCCAGCCCCTCCTCCATGCTCCCTTCATTTCGCTTCTCCTGCAGCAGCTGTTTGATTCTCCCTGCCACTAGCTCATCCTCTGGGGAGACTAATCCCCAGCAATGTAAGGGCTGCAATGCAGTTGAAACCATACACTGGAAATTAAAGCTGGAAATTTAAAATAATTTTGTGTTCTTACAAACATCATAGAGCATCACACATCTTTAATTTTAATTCCATGCTGTTAATGTGGTTTCCATTCCCTCTGAAGAATTTTCCTCTCTGGCTTCTTTTTTTGTTTTAATTCAAGTATGTATTTCTTTGATTGCCATTCAAACTGGAATTTGCCAGGCACTTATTAATGTCCTAGATCCTGTCCAGTGTGCCAGGCTGATGCTCACAGTCACCCTGTGTATTGGGCTGTTATTCTACCTTAGCAGTGAGGGAGGCTGCACCCAGAGAAGCTGGCCCTTGCCTGAGATTCATTCATGCACTCATCCTTCAACAACCCTGAGCACGTCTGTATCCGAAGTGGTCTCCAAGCGTCAGGACCAGTGTGGACCTCACAGGACCTCATTCTCTCTCTGTCCTGGGCCAGGACTAGGGCCTAAAGAGGAAGGGGAATTCACACAGAAGCCAAAGCAGTTAAGGAGGGTTTTTATGAGATTGTAACACAGGGAGAAACGGCCCAGTGGGTTCAGTGCCCAGGGGACCAACTGCCATCCAGAGCCAGTGTAAGAATGAAGGAGAGAATGTCATTTTCCCACCTCACAGACTTGCCCTGGAGGATTCAAGGAAAAGAACATGGTCAGGAAATCACTGAGGTGATTAACTGAACAGCCTTGGGTGTCCAAAGGGCAGCCTCAGGGCAGCAGAGTACAGGGTAGGACACATGAGAAGGACATGCTGGGAACCCCAAGACTCCCAGCAGGGAGGGAGGGAGTTGAGGGGCTGTAAGTCCTCTTCACAGGTGGGACTGTGGCTTCATTTCTATCGGTGGGAGATCAGTTGACACAAAAATAGGACAAATTGTTCTCAGAGAAGTGAACTGCTTGGAGCGAGGCATGCAAGCAGATGATTCCAACACACAAGGGCTCAGGAAAGAATTCACAAAGGTGGTTAACAACCGAGTTGGGGGTTTGAAGGATGATCAAGAGGTCACTGCAAGAACAAGCGATGGACTGATATTCTAGGTGGAAGGACTCACACGCAGAGGCTTACAGTTAGCAAACATTCTCTTCACTGGAGGAGGCAGGGTGGAGAGCACACCAGGAGACCTGGAATTTAGTTTTAGACCACAGAGAACCAGTCTGGATGTTTTAAGTAGTAGCATGGAATCATTTTTTTTTTCTTTCTTTTCTTTCTTTCTGTACCAGGGATCGAACTCAGGACCTTGCGCTTGCGAGGCAGGCGGTGGAACCACTGAGCTAAATCCCCAGCCCTATTTTCTTTTTTGAGAGGTATTGCAGAGGGATATGTGGACAGTTAATCGAGATGTGAGGTCCCCAAGTGAGTGTCGGTGGAGCAAGGAGCAGGGTTACAGAGTGAGAGGAATGAGGGAATAACTCTAGCAAGGATGCAGGAGGCAGGGACCCCCACATTACTTCCGGGACACAGGGGCCCTTGTGGCTGGCAGGAGGGGAGAGAAAAGAAGCTGCTTTCTCCCTGCCAAGGAGGTGGGTCCAAGTGGTGAATTCAAGCTGAAGTTGACCAGGGCAGAGGAGCTGTGAGCCTCTTGAGGGAAGAGCTCTTCCCTCTCCATTCCCCAGTCCTGCCGAGCACCTGCCCTGGAGGTCGCTGGTGGGGGAGGTGAGGAGCTCGAAAATGTTTTCTTGAATCAAACGAGAAAGCTGAAGAGAGCAAGTGAAAGAGGACCTGCTGCAGGGGCCAGGCGGGTGTACCTGGCAGGCTCCTGGGTGTGGAGGATCTAGGGATACTGGGCCGGGTACTTATCCAGATGCTACATAGCTAGCAAATCCTGGTTAGTCCTTAACAACTCCACAGTACTCCCAAATCTGAAAATCAGCACATTTCAACGAATTTGTTCTTGTTCGCTGGGACCAGAAACCCAATCCCCACGGCGATGTGGACAGCATCCACCTTACGCAATGACTCTCTTTCTGAGGGATATTTGGAAAGGTCAGCTGTAAAACAAGCGAACAGAAACACCACCTACTCCACCACCTACTCAATGCCAATCGCAACTGAGGAGTTTAGAAGACATTAAATGTGTACAAAGGGGGGGGGAGAGAAAGAAAGAGGG